TTCTCATTCACTTCGGCCACATCACTGATTCGCTCTCATTCATAATTTCCCTATGAATCCATGTTATTCAGATTTTTCAACCTTACTTTCTCAGATCATTTACCTTTTCAATGCAAATGAAACCAAAGGAGCGATTTGGCAAGTCCCGACCAGCTTATCCTCACATATTAGATTTCTCATAATGAGCAGATGTTACGAATCATCCTCATGTTTCCGTCTAATTAATTGAGTTACGTATTTAATAGAATAGAATAAAACATGCAAAGCTTGACATTAGCCAGTAGTCGAATGTACACTTATTAATAAGGATAGAATCATTTTCGCGGATTCCAATAATCTGTCGAAGCTTCGCTGCTTTCATTAAGATCTTAATTTCATTAAGTTTTTACTCGTAGTGTTGTCCTCAATTTTTTTTCGCTTTAGTGATTAGATGCACATCATCTGTTCAATTTCGTCATTCGAGTTTTGAATACTAATCAATACGATGATATGCTTGTGGCAAACATCTTGCTTTGACTCAATATTATTGTCCTGTAAACTGTTATCACCATTCTTACCGTTGTTAAAATAATTGTTCATATTTTTTCACCTAATCTGATCGTGTTATATCTGGAAAATTTTATTCTTCTCATATCACTCGCTTAGACAATTCCAGGACTTGGCTCTACTCAGTATCGTTGACTGTGATCATGTCTGATACGGAAGTCGTCGTGGACGGTGTTGATAAACTCCAGTTGCATGGTTGCTCTTTCAGTCTTGATTTAATTTCATCTTTATCCATTCTTCGATGAGCCGTTCCGAATTTTCAGAATTTCTTATTTATTTCCTGTAGTTGTTCGAAATATTGAATGATATCTATTCTAGGAGGAAAAGACAAGAAACTCTCTAGAAAAGAGTTGAAAAAACTACAGAAAAAGGCCGAATATGAAAAAGAAGTGATGGCAATGGGTGGACATGTGGATCGGCAAGAGGACGACAGTGGCGAGAAGAAAGGTTATCTAATTGAATCTTTCATCTATTTCTCTCAAACCATTTTATTTCTTGACAAATTAGGTGATTCTGTGGTCATTCGGCAATGTTTATACTTATTTGACTCTCACAATTTGTGAAAATGAATTCCGAATTTTTATTTTCTTTGACCAGCCTTCACTTACAGAAGGTGGTGGTATTGGAGCAGGCGCAGAACTCGGTGGACAATTCGCCGTATCTCAGCAGGCCAAATCAGTCGCCCAGATGACGCAACTTGAGAATGCCGTTGATATAAAAGTTGGTATTTAGAGTTGTGCTCGA